TTGTACAGGACAGGACGACTTCCAATTCCAAGCTGTGGGTAGAAACTCAGTTCATATTGATAGGAAAAAAGGTCCGATCGGTATTTGAACTCCGGGCCTTCAGATCCAAATCACGCGCTTTTGCACTAAACCAAGCGGGAACCCAAACTCTGCATTTGAACGATCAACAATTTTTCAACGATCAACAATTTTTCAGTTAAAACTTATGAACAGTTGATTTCTAAATTTGTTGCTTTTCAGCTCTTGTTGGTTTTCAATAATGTCAAACGAATGATCTGACATTAGTCTTTAATTTGTAGAGCCTGAAAGCTCGTGGAAAATTTCAACCTATTCCTTAAAGTTTTCCCTCCAACCCTCATAACAAAAACATTGCAAAACCAGCGGCACACCTTATTAAGTTGAAGCAACCAAATTTCTCATTCTTCATCGGCGCTGTTTTTTGTTCGAAACAGTCAAATCGCATCTTGAAATGAAAAAAAAAATTGAAATGTAAATTAGCAGAAAATGCATTCTAAGAATTCAAGATCTAGAAATAGAAGCGCAATTGGACTCCAAACAACATTGATGCTGCAGCTCACTCATTACATTATGGAAAATCATATGTTACGTTGTACTCAATTTCAGCATCATTCCAAGTTCATAGCTATGCCATTAAGATTATTTTCAGGAGGATCCAGGCGCAGAAAAGGTTTCAACTTCTGGCGGAGGATGGGGCGGGGAGAGGGGCAAGACTGGGATATTTGCTCAGTTTAACCAAACAGATGGGATTTCCGAGGCAGACCAAATTCATATTCGTCACAATGAAATAAAAATTGCACTGCATTTGTGATCAGGATAATAATTTTAGCTCAGCTGAATGAGTCATCGGCACCAACTGCAGATGTTAAAAACGGGAGATAACCTTAAAGCAGCAAAGAAATTTCAAATAAACCAACTTAAATCAACATTGCACAACCCTCCATGCCTTCTATAATGCTAAATCTTTATTCACTTAATTATAATAAACATATTGATTATTTGTCTAGTGTCATTGCTCAGTCCAAAAAAAAACAATTTTTCAACGAACTCGTTGACCGATAAAAGCATTTTTCAGCGCAGACCAATGAACTAAAATTTGAAGGCATAGATTGATGTTGTTTCTTCATTGCACCGGATAGGAAAGAATTACTTACAAGTCAATGCACAAATAAATTCGGATAATTGTTGACCATTAAATTGAAATTAGGTTCATTCAAGGTTCCACTCAAATTCTCCTACCGGAACAAATCAAAATTTTACGTAGAAAATAGTTTTCAAGTTTATTAGCGGGCTAGTTTCTATCTTCTGATTATTCATTACTTTTCCATGCTCAAGATATATAGTTTAAAATGAATAGTTCTGATTCTGTTTTCTGCATTCTAAACCCATGTACATCTCGTGAGCCCCCATCAACGTATAGTTAAGTCTTTACTCATGTGAGAAACGAATTTTGTTGTTGTTGATTTTGGGTTGTAGAACTCTGGGCAAATGGGTGGCTAGACTGACTATGGCCATCAACTGCAAGTGGTGCTTGGTGTGGTTTTTTGATTCAGTCAAGTTTCCCTGTTAGAAATAATAGTTTTTAACAAAAAAACTGAACGCCATTGAAGATATCGACTTCCGGACTTCAATTGTAAATTTATTTTACATCCGAAATTTTTTGAAAAATTCTGGGAGATTGAAAACTGCCTATTTGGCCGTTTTCTAGGCGCTTTGAAGAATTTATTCGTAATGCTGAAAGCGCAACGCGATTTATTTATGGGTGGTAAATTATCCCGCACGACAAAATCGTTCCAAAACGAATTGAGGCTAACTGAATTGTATTCATTTCGTACCACTCAAACTTGATCTTTGATATTGTCTAAAAAAATTATAGATTTTCAATATTTTTCCCAAAAACTGTTCGATATGGATTAAGGGGAAGTGGGACCATTCAGGGCTTCTTCCTGATATACGAGCAGTCTCGTTAGATCTCAATAATTGTGAATTTTTCTGCTCAACTGATGGTTTTGACCAACTGAAATTAGTTTGCTAGTTTCAAGTAGTTAAAACATGCCTCTAGTAGAAGAAGAAGAAGGAAAGTTTCAATTGTGATATCAGAAATACATCTGAAAAACCTGAGAAAAAGAACAAAAGAAAAAAAGAGTTCATAGATAAATCATAAGTTCGTTTGGCACAATCTGAGGAACCGGTTCGGAAAGGTGTTGTTGAACTTCCGAGAAAGTTTCCAGGAGCCTGGCGCTCGGTTTCATAATCTCTGCATAGAATACTCTTCGCGTGTGGGAATGATATCAAATAACAAATGATGGGGTTCTTTGAGGATTTTGTGGTAGAGCTCTTTGTCTTTCGAAGCGATTAATTCTTTGATAGGGATATAGTTTGTGGTGAATCCCATTCTTTTTGCTCGCTTTTGTAGTCTGTCGATTTTTCCGAGCAAAGAAGCGGAGCAACCGCCCCATACCGTGCAACAATAGGTGAGCTTGGGGAGAACCAGGGAGTTTAATAACAGATTGAGGTCATGGTATTTATATCCATGGTGCTTGAGTTTGTTGAGTAGATAAAGGTCTGAGCACACTTTTTTGCAGATAAAGTTGACATGTGTCTCAAAGGTCAAGTGGGTGTCAAAAAATAGACCAAGAATCTTCAAACTTTCTTGATTCTCAATAGAACTTGGAATTGGTTGGATGGTACTCTTGAGTTTAATTGTGAGCTGTTTGGTTTTAGAACAATTAAGGAGAAAGTTATTCGATTCACACCATTCATATATCATACGTAAGGTTTCTTCAGTGCAATCACGACCATTTTTTACCCCAATTATTGGATTATTGTCATCGGCGAACTTGATCATTTGGCATTCCGAGTGATAGTTCACGTCTTCATCAATTTTCAAGTCGTCGTATGCTAGATTGAAACAGGGTGGGCCCATGATTGTACCCTGCGGGACGCCTGAATTGGGTGACATCAAGTCCGATGACCTTCCAGCCACGCAAACGAATTGACTTCTTTCAGTTTTAAAGCTTCGAATGAAGTTTATTATGAAGGGACTCAAACCAGATATTTTTTTGAGCTGGGTTAGGACAAGCTCATGTGGTACTCTGTCGAACGCTTTGCTCAGATCTAAAAAAAAATCAGCTTGATATAATCATGATCACTAGTGTCTAGATTTTTGCAGGTATCCAGGATCTTCAGAAGGGCAAACTGAGTGGAGCCTCCTTGGCGAAAACCATACTCAAAAAGAGAATTGGGGCAGATTCTGTTGGAACTCAAAGTTTTCTGGTGGACTTGGTATCGTGAGAAAAACACTCCTAACGATAATCTTAAAAGCGAAGAAATTGACGAAAACTTTTTATAACGCAGCTGCTCTATACAATGCGCTGCTAATTCAAGCGTAACTATTTTTCCAAAAAAAACACGTCAGAGAAAAAAATCTGCAACGCAAACGAAAATACTACGATTATTCAAAACTGTTTTGGACCGGGAACCAGCTTTTTATCAGACCGAACTTTTACCAGAAAAATTATAACACGGACCTTTTACTAGACTCGATAAAGAAATTTGATTGACAGATGTAATGACGTCGTGTAGTCTGGTTTCTTAGCAAAATTTTGTTTGTTCTAACCGCTTCCTATTTGAACCTTCCACTAATTTAAATTTATCTCAATTAAATTATTGCATTGTGGTCTATTGAAAAGTTGGTCTGGTAAAAGACATAGCCACGTTTTGGACCTGTTTAACTTTAACCATTTTTTAAACTGAAAATATTTCTAACTACTAAGAATGTGTGCAAACAGCATAATCAAGAAGCGAAAAATTGATTTTTTTTTAATTTGAAACTCACACGCTTTGTAAAGTACAAGGTAAAAAACTCAGCCTGTAGCAAAATATGTTTAAAACCTTTGCCTCGAACAAATCTTTTTAAAAAATTTTGAGCCAGATTAAATTACCACTCACGCGTTTTTTGAGCACGTGTTAATTATCCCTACTTAGCCAATTGGTAGTTTTCGAACCACCATATATTTAAGATCAAGGATCACAGCTAGAAATTTCAGCTCAGGACATTAATACCTTACAGATAATCTGAAAATTATCTTCAAGTAGGGTTGGTTGAAAATAAAATTGTGCCTAAAAACCAAACCCAAATATTTCGGGCCAATAAGAAAAAAACAAATATTTTATTTTTCACCGAAAGTCGGAACAACAATCATTTCATCATACAGAAGCGAAACTAAGATTCGCATCACATGCAATTCAACTCAAGCAGAGCATTTCAAGCTGGCAAATAGAAAATGAGACCGAAACTACCAATTAGAAAAAAAATATTAAAACGATGAAAAAACTATCTACAAAACTTTCATAAGTTTGCCTCGACTAGTGGTCAAAAGTTTCAAATCACAGTTAAATGGTATTAAACAAGTGGCTATTTATCCAAAAATTTTAGGTAGAGGCCCGTTCAAAATTTTAAACTTACAGAACTTAATTAAAAATCTGTGTTGGTAAATTTGCTTTGTACAGGACAGGACGACTTCCAATTCCAAGCTGTGGGTAGAAACTCAGTTCATATTGATAGGAAAAAAGGTCCGATCGGTATTTGAACTCCGGGCCTTCAGATCCAAATCACGCGCTTTTGCACTAAACCAAGCGGGAACCCAAACTCTGCATTTGAACGATCAACAATTTTTCAACGATCAACAATTTTTCAGTTAAAACTTATGAACAGTTGATTTCTAAATTTGTTGCTTTTCAGCTCTTGTTGGTTTTCAATAATGTCAAACGAATGATCTGACATTAGTCTTTAATTTGTAGAGCCTGAAAGCTCGTGGAAAATTTCAACCTATTCCTTAAAGTTTTCCCTCCAACCCTCATAACAAAAACATTGCAAAACCAGCGGCACACCTTATTAAGTTGAAGCAACCAAATTTCTCATTCTTCATCGGCGCTGTTTTTTGTTCGAAACAGTCAAATCGCATCTTGAAATGAAAAAAAAAATTGAAATGTAAATTAGCAGAAAATGCATTCTAAGAATTCAAGATCTAGAAATAGAAGCGCAATTGGACTCCAAACAACATTGATGCTGCAGCTCACTCATTACATTATGGAAAATCATATGTTACGTTGTACTCAATTTCAGCATCATTCCAAGTTCATAGCTATGCCATTAAGATTATTTTCAGGAGGATCCAGGCGCAGAAAAGGTTTCAACTTCTGGCGGAGGATGGGGCGGGGAGAGGGGCAAGACTGGGATATTTGCTCAATTTAACCAAACAGATGGGATTTCCGAGGCAGACCAAATTCATATTCGTCACAATGAAATAAAAATTGCACTGCATTTGTGATCAGGATAATAATTTTAGCTCAGCTGAATGAGTCATCGGCACCAACTGCAGATGTTAAAAACGGGAGATAACCTTAAAGCAGCAAAGAAATTTCAAATAAACCAACTTAAATCAACATTGCACAACCCTCCATGCCTTCTATAATGCTAAATCTTTATTCACTTAATTATAATAAACATATTGATTATTTGTCTAGTGTCATTGCTCAGTCCAAAAAAAACCAATTCTTCAACGAACTCGTTGACCGATAAAAGCATTTTTCAGCGCAGACCAATGAACTAAAATTTGAAGGCATAGATTGATGTTGTTTCTTCATTGCACCGGATAGGAAAGAATTACTTACAAGTCAATGCACAAATAAATTCGGATAATTGTTGACCATTAAATTGAAATTAGGTTCATTCAAGGTTCCACTCAAATTCTCCTACCGGAACAAATCAAAATTTTAAGTAGAAAATAGTTTTCAAGTTTATTAGCGGGCTAGTTTCTATCTTCTGATTATTCATTACTTTTCCATGCTCAAGATATATAGTTTAAAATGAATAGTTCTGATTCTGTTTTCTGCATTCTAAACCCATGTACATCTCGTGAGCCCCCATCAACGTATAGTTAAGTCTTTACTCATGTGAGAAACGAATTTTGTTGTTGTTGATTTTGGGTTGTAGAACTCTGGGCAAATGGGTGGCTAGACTGACTATGGCCATCAACTGCAAGTGGAGCTTGCTGCGAGGTATTGTGGGGGACTCCTACTGATTCCGAAGAGGGTGGAATCGCGGATGTCAGCGACGGTGAGTCTTCCATGCTCTCTTCGTCTTCATGTGATGCAGTAATGTGAGTGAGAGTCCTGTCCGCCTCACCTTCCCGGACTCCCTGTTGAACAGCGATTGAATCTTGATGGTTCCTGCCGTGCGGAAGAGCGGTAACAATTTGTTGCTGCGGATTTCTGCTGCCGTTAGAAACTGTACTCATGTGATGCTGATGACTTGCGTCAACAGTTGCAGATCCCGTGCCTCCCAAATGAGAAGGAGCACCCTGCAGTTGTTCCTCATGTTGCACCAGTTTACTCTGCTCATGATGGGGGTGTCTTGTCAGTTCCACTGCCTCAGGAGTGGGTGCCATAGTTCCCATTCCACTCATCATGCAACTCAGCGCCGGTCTGCTCTTCACACCCCTGCTACCCCCTCCTCCACCCCCACTTGCTCCCTCGCTCAGCCCTGTCTGTGCCCCTCCCCCTCCCCCTCTGGCACCCAGCTGTCTGGCCATGTTGTAGTCGCCAGAGTCAAAGTAGTTCTTCTGAGGCTGAAACCCGAGAACACTTACTTTTACGGCCAAAAGAGTTCCATATCATGTCTCGCCAAAATCATGTCTCGCTCAATAAAAGCCAAATGGTTCCAATTAAACAAAAACCTCGCCAACAGAAAGTTGGAAATGTGCGAACGAACTCGAGGAGACAAAAATAGTAACCCAATTTGAGAACACTAGATCAGGGAAATTTTTAAATCACATCAACATTCACTTTCGAAACTGGAAGTCATTCACGTTTTTCGGACCTTTTCCGCTTGCTTCATTGGAAAGCGTTATTTTGCTTCATTTTACATAGCAAACGAATTTGAATTGAACAAAAACTCAAATGTCAAACCGCTAAAAGAAATCGAATTTCAATGTGAACATTTTCCTGAAAAAAAAATAAATCAACACGCTCACTACGTTAATTCACACTTAACATCAAATTATTCGCAGATAAACAGAAAAAAGCAATTCTCACCTTGCGTCTATTGAGCAGCATATGTGGCGCACTTTTCTTTCCCTGTCCGAGGTTCCCATACTTGCCCCCCTCGCCTCCCCCTCCCATCGGTCTGCCTCCTGGCCCCATCCCCTGCTGTTGCATGTGCACATGGTCCTCCCCCGATGCAGGTCCAAGTGTCTTTTGGGGATTGGGCGTGGGGGCGGCGACTGGTGTCGAACCCATGGGGTTGCCGCTCCTGCTTGAGATGTTGACTCCAACTCCTACACTAGCTGCATCCATTGCCATTTATCTCAACTGAAAGCATCACAATATCCAGTTGGCGCTCGCTTGATTTCTTAAGTCTTTCAGTGCATCATTATGGTCTGCAACAGTCTACAGACATTTGCAAAAGTGTCAACAAATGGGAAGCAAAAATATGTTTTGGATCAATATTCAGGCTCTGCTTTTCGAAGAATAAATCACGCTCAAGCTCTTTGCTTTAAAAAAAACTAATTATTGATTTTTTTACACAGAAGCGAAGCGGTACTCTCACTCTCCCCATTCGCAATACAGCACAAACATAGCATGGCGAGCTGGCCGACAAAAAATAGCCGGACGTCAAAGTCAAAAATGATGCAAATTAAAGAAAAAATGCCGACAAAGACAACTGTCGGCCTTAAGCTAGCGGTTACATATCCTTGGGTAGACCACCATTACGCCGAAAAGAGTGCCTTTAACACCTGAGCAATAAACAATTTTTAATCTCGGAACTTTAGAAGTCCCCCTCGTCATTAAAAAAAGCAAGACATCTAAATGACGCAATATGAGGCTACTAAACCCACATAACTAGCGCCGATAAAAACCTTTCAAGCCGAATAAAGCTTTGAATGATCAAATCCAAGAATTCAAAAAACACGGATTTCGAAAGAAACGTATTAACATGCAAGCAAGCTCAAAATACATCTTCTACACTAAACTACCTTCATGAGACCTGTGAACAAAGCTGTTGACGGGAAAAAGTCTAGTACCCGATTGCAATTCACTTTCTCCTGCAAGTATAACACAAAGCAAAGCTGCACTTTACAAACTCAAGCTAAATATGCCAAGAACTACCTTTAAAAACGTTAAACAGATAAGGCAAGAAACTGAAAACATTAATGATTTTTGAAAAAAAAAATTGCTCGACGCGAATTTAGCCATAGAGCTAGAGCATACGGTGGTGATTTAAATTATCCGGACAAAATGAACAAAAATTGAGTTTTCAAACACGTTTTTCTCAACTTGGGTTAAAATTAGACAGAAAGTCAAGAGAACAAAAATTGCTTAGAATTTCATCGGAATTAATATGGTGTAATTCTTTCCCCGAAATTCTCAACCAAAATTTCACCCCAAAAATAGGTCACTTTGGTTTTTTTCAAATAATCAAAAATTACGCTGAAACTACTTGGTTAATTGATAAAAAATATATATCATAAGAAGCCTATTACACAGCCCAACAAAGTTCTAGAAGGGTTAAGTCTCCAAAAATTTTAGTAAATTGTTTAAAATTTGTTTTGAGCACAGATTTTGGGTTTTATATAGTAAAAATCACATTTCTTGACCATCAAGCAAAACTATTTTCTCTTATCCAGGTTTTTGGAGATTTAACCATTTTGGAACTTTGTTGGGCTGTGTAATAGGCTTCTTGTGTTATATGTTTTTTATCAATTAACCAAGTAGTTTCAGCGTAATTTTTGATTATTTAAAAAACAAACCAAAGTGACCCATTTTTGGGTAAAATTTTGGTTGAGAATTTCGGAGAAAAAATTACACCATATTAATTCTGATGCAATTCTAAGCAACTTTTGTTTTCTTCATTTTTTGTCTAATCTTAACCCAAATTGAGAAAAACGCGTTTGAAAATTCAAGTTTTGTTCGTTTTGTCCGGATAATTTAAATCAGCACTGTACAAGTCAACAGCCTTACTGCACAAGTTGATGATCTGACAACTAAGCAGGCAACTGATAGACCGATAATTTGTTCAAAACAGGCCCTGTCGGGTTCGAACATAGTCCCTTAGCCTTCCCAGGTTGTTCACTAGTTGTTCACCCGAAAAAAATTTGTTCATAAAAACAAAAATGAAGTCAAATGTGCTGCTATCAGGGGCAAACTTCAACCTAATTTCTTTAAATTTTTGCGATCAATTTGACAGTCAAGTGGCAAAGAACTGGTTAAAATATCTATGATCGAATTTGTGCGTCCAAATTGTTTAATTGAGTCAGTCATTCGCGGTGTCTGTTTGTCCGCTTCTACGAAGATATCTTGTTGTAGTGCTGCGGGTGTTCGGGGAATCTATAAAGGGGTCTCTCGTTCTCAGCGATGAATCTTCTCTTGCGGGGATCCCATCCGTGAGGGTAGGTTCGAGGTGCCTGTTAATGCAAGAACAATCATGACTAGAATCTTCGAATAGGATTCAAATTTAGGCAGTTATTGGGGGTTTGCAGCAAAACTTACACTGACTAATACAGAATTATTAATCAAATTTCTTTGCCTCTTGTGACCAAAAAACTGGACTTCTCGCGGATAAAGCTACTTATCATGAGCAGTGAATATTAGAGGCAAAAAGCGAATAACATCATTTCGCCCACAAACAAAAGCACAGAGACGAAGCGGAGCTTTGTACCAATTGCGATGCATAAAATCAAAAAACCAACTCATAAAAACTTGAATATGCATACAAACACAGAGGCGAAACGGAGCTTTGCATCACTTGTGATATAATGCAAGCGCATCATTGAAGCTAGCGATTAGAAAATGAGACGGAAATATTAAAATCGAAGAGGAAATTCGGGAAAAAATTCAGAAAAACAGCCAAAAAACACAACCACCAACATTAATTAGGCTTCTAATATTTACCAAACGGCCACTAAGCCAACAAAAATTGGGTAGACGCCCATTTAGCTGCAAAAAATACCATCCGAAATTGTCATAAAAATTTTGAGCAATTAAGTTTCGAAACTTTGAAATTTTGCAACAAACTACCTGAATTTTTCAATTAACATACTGAATTAACATACAAACTGAAAACAACAAGGTCCAACCGGGACTCCAACAGCAGACCTTAGGGTATAAAGGACCGCGTTACCTCGAGGCTAATAGGGAGGCAGTCTAGAATTTGATAAGGTTCACTAATCAAACAACTTAAAATTCTGTAAAATCAATGAAACATCAACATGCCATGCCGCTTATAAAAAAAAAACAATTGACATCCCAGAGAGGCGCAAAATTTTATGAAGTTTGATCGTGTATTACAGCAAAAAAAACGGCTTTCAATATCCACACAGAATATTGCCTATAATGAGTTTAATATTCTCCAAATAGATTAAACAAGGGATAAAAACTACCAAATGAAAAAAGTGTAGAATCAATTTGAAACACTGTTATCGAATAGCCAAAGAGTAAGCACCAAAAATTGCATTTTTTTATATGAACAATTGGAAAAAGTTGAACAATACGAACAGACAGTAAGCTGGGAAAGAGCTTAAAAATTGTTCACGCCATTTCAACGTTATTTGGAGAATGCAATTTACGTAACTTCCAGCAGATGAATTTCAATTGAACTCAAAAATTGCATATATACCTAAGTACATTCATAAATACATTAATGTATGAATGCACATCTGTAGTTATTAGAGCATTTTAAGAACTTATCAAACTTCCTAACCCCCTATCTAGAGGACAAGGAGCCTCACGTCCTTGCATCTGAGCAACGGTAGCTTGCTGATTTGCAAATACTAGCCACCAATAAAGCAGCTACAGATACTATCAAATTCTCAATTTTATGCAGCAAAATAAAAATATATATTTTTTGCTATGTGCCGGAATCGAACCTCCGATCTGAAAATTAGGCGCCTCACAGCCTCTTATCTGCGCCAAAATCTCTAAAAACATACACAGTGACGAAGCGGCACTTCGCACTACTTGGGCTATAATAAAAAAAACCCGCAAATCGAAAAAAAAATCGACAAATTTTGAAAAAAAAACTTAGATCTATTAAATTAATGAAACTAGTTTTCAAAAAAACAAAGTCAAGACAACAGAATATGAAATTAGCATCCGGAGAAAATTTGCCAAGCGGTAAGAAAGCCTAAAGTACCTAAGCAGAAATCCTCTAAGCCGAAAAAACTCTAAATGTTTAAATTAATTTTAAAAAGATTTCAAGTCCTAAACACTCACAAAAACACACTCACGAAGCAAAGAAGACAGAGGAAAAACCGCAAACAAAAATGAAATTTTAAAAATCGAATTGGTAAAACTAGACCCAACAACAAAGCTAATTTCTAATATGACGAATACTTAAAAGGCTAACATGTGCAAAACAAGTCTCTTGGGGCACATTTTTTGCCAACAGGCCTCTAGGAAATTAGTTAAAAAACTCATTTTCGGGGGAAAATTTACTACCCGGTGGCAACACGATCACAAATATAACTAACACTAGCCAGGAATAAACCAGCTAAAGAGGTAGGTTACACCTTTATTAGCGAGTAAGATAACAAAAAAGTGGACTTCGTAACTGCACACCCTTTGCTTGTGTAAATAACGCACAAGTACGGATAATTGGCAATTAAATACGCTTACTGCACACCAAAACATTTGTTTTTGCGTATCATAAGCTCTTTTGTTGTAATGGAATTGCCTAACGCACAAAATTTCTCGTTGTACATTTTTATTTACACGACCCAGTAAAAACTCAGGCCTGTGAATTATGAGAAAAACATTTAAAAAACTACCTTCCATTTTAGTACATTAATTTCGAACATAAAAAGAATCACAACTAATATCGCTAGAATATAAAATTCAGCTTGAAATATTTAGACTTTCGTTTGATAACATTTAAAACCAAGGGTCATACCGAAAACTTACAATTTAAAACTTAACTCACCATGATTCCGTGGTAGGGTAGATACAACGTAGAGTAGGTAATAAGGACCGCTGCTCCCAACATGTAAGCAAACAAGCGCAAGTAATTCTTCCATCTAAATAAACAGATTCGACAAATCAACAGACAGATGTGTCATTATAACAGGATTCCATTAACTAATGAGCCCATTTTTTTGTAAATGAGCCCCTAGGTATCCACTATGCACGCCCTTCACTAAGATATCATCGGGACAACTGCTTTACAGGTTTTAAAATTTTGACAAAAGCTTCACACTAAGTGTGTGCAGTTCTCTATCCATGCAGGCAAAGATTATAATAAGCAATGAGTACCCAAACCCTCTACCTCTGGTTGCTTTTTTCATGCCATATCGTTTAAGAAACTGAGTTGTAGAATTCGCAGAAGTAGACGCATCATGTTTACAAGTACTTCGAATAAGCATTACAGATGCTTCTGGTATAGCCGTTGATACAATATACCGAATAATATGTTGGCTGCAAACAATACAATTAAGAATTATGGGCAATAATTGGGTACTAACTTGGGCACGACAGTGGGAGTAATCTGGTCGTCAGTGAAAGCAACCAAGTCCAGTTCATCATAGTGCAACACATGACCCCAGTCACTCTTTGTCGGAGGCATGTCCCAGTCGTGCCAGAAGTCCCTGGACAGCCCATGTACTGGCTGGAAATCTGGGTAGTCGCCGCGACTAGTCATTCCGTCGTCCGGGTAGGGCTGGTACTCTTCGATGGGAATGCCATACTTTCTCGCACTTCGAATCCATTCCTCCGCCGTTTCCGGGTAATCCGATGGCAATTGTTCTTCCGGCAAAATTAAAACACCTGTAACACTTTTTTTTAACCACAGACGATAAACACAAGCAAAAAACAGCAAAAATTAGCACTAAAAAATTCAAAATTGAATACATAGTCAACAAAGAGTTGGAGAAGATTTTAAAAAATAAAAATAAAAAAAGTGATCGAAACTAACTTTTGAAGAAGTAAATTCATCAGGTTGAAGCTTTTTGTGTTCAAATACTTTTTATGATTGGCACGTACAGTGCTGATTTAAATTAACCGGACACAACGCGTTTAACTTGAAACTTAAAACGCGTTTTTCTCAAATTGGGTTGAGTTTAGGTGAAAACTTATGAAGACAGAACTTGCTTAAAAATTTAGCAGAGTTAATATGGTGTAATTTGTTTCGCAAAATTTGGGCCCAAAATTTTACCCCAAAAATGAGTCATTTTGGCTTTTTTAGTTAATCAAAAATTAGGCCAAAAATACCCAGTCGCTCAGACATAATTATATCAAAGTGAGCCCCTTACGTAGCCCAACAAACTTTAAGAAGGGCATAATCTACAAAAACAATTGTAAACGGTTTAAAAATAGTTTTTAAATAAAAAGTTGGTATTTTATGCAGTAAAAACGACCTTTTTTGTCTATCAAACAAAAATAAATTAATTTATGCAATGTTTTGGAGAATATATCCTCTTAAAGTTTGTTGGGCTACGTAATGGGCTCACTTTGATATAATTATGTCTGTGAGCGACTGGGTATTTTTGGCGTAATTTTTGATTAACTAAGAAAAGCCAAAATGACCCATTTTTGGGGTAAAATTTTGGGCCCGAATTTCGCGAAACAATTTACACCATATTAATTCTGCTAAAATTTTAAGCAAGTTTTGTCTCCATAAGTTTTCACCTAAACTCAACCCAATTTGAGAAAAACGCGTTTTAAGTTTCAAGTTTAACGCGTTTTGTCTGGTTAATTTAAATCAGCACTGTATTCTTCGAAATTAATCCATATAGAGAAAACTGGACCAATAGATAAACTTCTGAACAATTCGGTCGTCATCTTAACTGCTATTTCTGAAAGCTGGCAATTCAGAAAATTAAATTCCATTTTTTAAAACTTGAAATTATTCAAGTTTCGTGAACTTTTCTTTTTTACTGTTCTATAGCGGAGTTTGCCTTCATTTAACCAAAAAATGAAGAGAAAATCATGAGTCAAACCGCGAAAACTCAAATTTGAACGTGAACAAATTTAAATACTTTTTCCTGGAATAAAATTACAAAAAAGATCGAAGACAGGTTTCTACCCTCTGAAAAGCTTGTCTTCAATGTCGATTTCGGGTAAAATGGTTTTCGGGCGATGTCAATTTTGGGCATAATGGTTTTCGAGCGATGTCGATTTCGGGCACAAAGGTTTTCGGGCAATGTCGATTTCGGGCAAATTCAGGTTTCTACCCTCTGCAAAGCTTGTTTCAATGTCGATTTCGGGCGAAACGTCCTTCAAAATTCAGTAAATTTTTTACATAGACAACGAGCAAATGATTATAGCTTTTCTCTATGAAACTATACTTGTTTGATTTCAAAACTTACCAATGTAATCCGGGTCTGAAAACGCCAGTTTTCCTCATCTGCGCTGTTTTTCAATCCGCGTGAAAAGGTAAGAAACGACTGCGTTTAGTTAAGTTTCACAATGAATGTTCCATTTTCTCGCTGAGAATGTTTCACGTTTCATGAACAATTTCTTTACTCCGCTTATTCAAGAGAGCTTTCCCTACGATGCAAAAGTTAGCCAGAAAAAGTGAGAATAACAGGCACTTTTCGACCCGGATTACAATGCTGTTTTTGAAACCAAACATTGATAGTTTTATAGAGGGCAGCCGTGATCATATATTTTTGGTCTATGTAAAAATTTCATGCACTTCGAAAGAAACGTTTTCCCAAAATATACATTGAAAACAGGCAATATAACAGTTTTAGAGAGAAAACAGTTAAAGAGAGTAAACAGCTTCAGAGTGTCAAATCCTGAATTCGGTCTTAATTTTGTCCACTAGTGTAAAAGTGAAAATAACTTCATTCTTTTATAATTACTTAATAAAGAAAAAAAATCAATAAAAACCTCGAAAAATGAAACTTTTGATATACGCCGGAATTGAACCGCCAAACTGTGGCTTACGAATCTCACATCCTCAAATCTGCACCAAGACCTCTTGAAAATAAGGCAACAACGCAGAGAACAAAGCTGATAAGTTTCAAATCCTTATGAAACAAAAGTGCCACCAAAGGAGCAGTTTTATTTGCGACTTGACTAAGAGAAAAAGAAAACAACGTAATATTACACTGCGCTCGCATGTGTAAGTAGTCTAACTAAAACAACTTTTATATCTTAATCAGATGCATACAAACCACAAAAACTTAGAGCTCTTTAAAACGCTTAGATTAACGTTCTTCTCAAAAAGTATTTGGATAAAGCGACTCATTTAACTGCTTTTCCAGGACCTCCACCAGACTTTCTTATGAACGTAATGACAATTGTGTATTAAAGATACAGTCTAAGGTCAGTGCAATCTAACTCATTGCATACCTCCTCCGGAGTTGGTCAAGTCTGCATGTGGCTGCTCATATTTGGAGTGTGAGATTCCCGTCTGGTGTGAATCTTTTCCGAAGGTCGACTCGGGATGCTCCGTCGGACTACGATGTTCTCCCCTTCTCACAACACACACATGAAGCGCTCGAACAGAAGGAGTGACGCTTATTCCAGCCTTGTGCAATGCACTCCTTGGCAGAACAATAGCACAACTGCTGATCAGCTTGTGAAGACTCATCTTGTATTTAACTCATGTAGACAGTCATATCTAAAAACACTCCTAATCTTAAATAAAGGTCTCAGGCATTTCTCAAGATAAACCAGCGACAGTAGGTTTTGGGTGTCATGTAGAACTAAAATTCCATTAACATTAATTATATTCAAAAATTATACGTCGCCATTCAACGCCAAAACGAAAGGAGGAGGAAGTCATCTTAACTGCTATATAACAATACATCTGTGAATAGAAAACAACGACAATGTTTTAAACTGCTAAAATGAACCAGCACAGTTCATCGCATGGGTGCGTTTCTCGATGAGGAGCGATGAGATGAACCATAGGAAAGATCTGGGAATGCCTGGACATGGTTAAATTCCACATGCGGAACTGGGTTTGGATTCTGGTAGAACTGACGGGGGTCCAATAAACCCAATCCAGTTGGTGGCAAGACAAGTGCCTGGTTAATGGCGTTTGCAGCAGTCTGAATTGATGGCCTGGGTCTATCCTCAGCATGCACCATCCGTGTTCTCGACTCTTGCACAGTTGTGGCAGTTTGTCGTAGATCGAAGTCTCTTCCTCCTAGCATAGGCTGCTGAACCCGAGTCATGTGATCTCGCGACATTGCTGCCGCCAAATGCGCATCTGCAACCGATCGCTGCACTGAACCATAACTAAGTCCCGGGGATCTTTCTCTGACTTTATCGCCGCTGCGGTACCGTTCATCGGTATCTCTGGGAGGTGGAGTGAGGACTCTTTTTATAGCCATCTTTCTCGGAGGGGTCTTTTCTCGTCGCGGACTCGGAGCCCTCACTCTTCGATCTTTAGATGGTTCCCCTCGATGACCATTAGTTCGACTATCACGTTCGTCTCTATCTCGATTTCTACTCGACTCAACTCGCGAATACTTTGAGTCTCTTTTTGACTTATCTGGAGATCTATCCCTCTCAGTTGATTGGCGGCGCCTCCTGTCATCATTTCGACTTGATGATGCAACTTGGTGTCCTCTTGGAGCTCGAGTTAACCGCTTCAGCTCCTCGGCCTCTTTGAGAAGTTTCTGCTCGGCTATCTGACGCTCTTTCTCCAATAACAGCATCTGGCGCTGCAGCTCCAGACGTTCTTTCACAATCTTCTCTCGCTCAAGCTTCTCTTTGATCAATTTGTGTCTTTCTTCTTCGAGTCTCCTCTCCTCTCGTTCACGTAGCAGCATTTGCTCCTCGCGTTCTCTTATGAGCCGATCGCGCTCGCGGTCATCTCGTGACGGGTTTCTATTGTCAAGCATATTCCTCAGTTCGATTCCTTCTCCGCGTCGTCTACTCCTGCTTCTACTTCGCCTTCGAGGTGACACCCTGTGGCTCTCCCTTGGACGAGATTGATAATGCGAGGAGTCCCGCTTTGGTTGAATTATGATAGTTCGTGATGGAGGTGGCGGTGTCCGCCTCACAACAGGTGGTCTCTGATGTCCCCTCGAAGATTCCCTGCTAGTCCGTTCAGTTCGTCCTTGTGATCTTTTTCTCTCATCGCCTCTCATCTTGCCCAATTGCTCCAGTTTCCTTCTGGCATCATCGGCTCCAACACGATGACTATGACTGTCACCCCTAGAAGTTGATCGTTTCTCTTTATCCGATCGAGATTCTTTGCCCTTATCCCTGGAGCCGTGTTCCTGTATAATTTTACTACTAAATGAATCAGATGGCTTGTCAGTACTTATTTTATCAGTACTCTTAGGTTTAGACTCAGTTTTATCAGATCTTCGCTTCGGTTGTTCAGCTACATTTTCAATAGAAATTACTTTACCATGAATTTCAGAACCAGCCAAATTATCAATGCATGCTTGAGCTTCCTCACAATTTTGCATGGTAATAAAACCATAAAATCTATTCCCGTCTTTACTGCTACTTGATATAACTTTAGCATTCAAAACTTTTCCAAAATTTCCAAATATCGTTTTAAGATCGGCTGTCCGGGTCTCTGTAGCAAGGTTGGATATCCATAAACATTTCTTCTCCTTTGTATCCCCAGTTTTCTCCTTCTGGGGATCTTTTTCCGCTTTCTGATCTGTTGCAGTGGTCGTTGATCCATTTTGCCCAGTTGTGTGCACGTCGACGCTTTCCTGCTTTTCGGGGTCAAGTGATCCTCCAAAGTCCAACTCTAAGACGTCTTGCTCAACCTCCACCTCGAACTCGAGCAGATCATTTTTGCTGTCCAATGAAAGTGCACCAGTTGGTTCGGCAAAAGGATCATCGCTTGCTTCTTCGAAAACATCAAGTCCGGTCTCCAAGCTCATCTTTCCGGGTTCCATTTTCACTTCTCCCGCATTTTGATTGGGCAATGCTGCTTTACAATTCACTGGGTCTAAAATTAACTATTGCCGGATTCTTGCTGCACCAACCTATTACTATAGCATGCATTCTTTTTTCAGTTTCTTTTGCTCAGAGAAAATCAATGCAACTTAAATTACCGTCAACAACATGTGAATTGGCCGAATGTCCAGTTTTTAAAGCCACCTTTTCCTCACGTTGATTCTGCAAGCTGCCGCTCTTGGGACCAACATCTTCCCTTCCGATTTTTATTTGGTTGAGTAGCTTCATTTTGGTAGAACTCGTATCTCCAAATTCATTGCTCTTCAGCACTTTTTTCAGTTCTTCTTCGGACAGCTCTGCGATTCGGGCTGCTGAATTAACATCCATACCCCTGAAACCTGTAAATAATGTTAAATATTGTTGCTTTTGGATACTGGTTGTCGGATACTGTCAACATTTTGAGCATCGCCATCAGACAGTTGGAGTGTTCATGATTAGCTTTGATATTAAGAATCGGATCAAGCGAACGAAAACAAAATTTGAAAATTTCGCAGGTGGTGAAGTGATTACGTCTCTGCCTCTCAAGCAAAAGGTCGGGTCCTTTAGGTCAACCAATATTGGTACTCGTTGCTTGAGGGTTTAACAACATGACCCAACCCAGAAAAATAGCATAAAAGTCTTAAGCAGGGGCGTTCTCTGTGAAAACCTGAACAGATCGTATTTTGGTCCTTCCCGTTGTGGATAAAGCGTCTTAACAACTCAGTTGGTAAAGAAAAAAGAGCCAAAAAAACACCTTGTTGTTTCATAAATTTCAGTTTCATGGCATACGAACACAAGAAGAAATTTTTTTTATAAAAATAAATCAGAAAAACATTTTAAACGCTAAATGAAAAAACTTTCAAATATGCAAGTGTATGTCAGATATTTAAAAAATTAGGTTTGAAGTGAGTATAATTTAATTTTAAAAATCTTACTAATTTTGATAATACTTTTCAACTGAAATCAACTCAAAATTGTTTCCTGAAAATTTATGACAGGTTTTCTCTGATGGATCTTCTTTAAATCATAATAAAAAACAATTCTTGATTTTGACTAAATAATTTGAGAAAATTGTAAACTCAACAACCATTTTCGCTCATTTTAAGCATCTTCAGTCCTCTCATTGCTTGATTCAGGAATAGGGGCATCTCTTCCTGTAATTTCGGCAAATCTATGGCTAAAGCAGTACAAAGCTGGACTAAGGAGGGATATTCCTGAAATTGTTTATGCCCAAAAAAAAATCTTAGTGCGATATAAGCTTGTGTGAAAGGCCCTCAATGGATGCCTCTCCTAAGAAGCAGATATCATCTCTTCAAAACCTCATCCTCAAAGTATCTCCTAATTGCTGCCTCCCAAGCGAGGCACCTACAAGCTGGAAAACTGAATATCCTATAGCTACCTGTTATAAGTGCAAATCACTTTTACGACTATCTCTCCCCGAAAAACCTGTTTGATACAATAATCCTCTTCAAGGTGGTAACGACCTTTACTAATATACAGCGCCAACTGATACCCCTGTGCGTTTAGTAGATAACAAAATTATCGATTTTGCGAACTTTCTCTGTGAACGAGCCAAGACTGTCTTTGTTCTAGCAATTCCTGAACAAGAAAATAAAACTTGTAACAGTCGCCTACTTAAGTCACATATGAGCTTAAAGAAAAATAGGCCCTATAACCATTGGCTCAAGAGTCAAGGACACTATCTCTTGTGTTTTTCTACCTCAAGCGGACGGGGCCAATTCGGTTCACTTTCGATATGAGACTAAAACCTTTGTTACAGCTTAAAGGCCACTGCCAAAATACCACCCCCCCCCCACCCACTCTAGAAAATAAGAAAGCCTCCATACTTAGGTCTCAAAGTACCTAAGAAGAAGAAGAAGAAAGAACACTTGAATTACTATACAATAAAAAGCCGAGGCATCAGTGTAGCAAAGTGTAAATAATAAAATTGGTTATAAATTCATTGGTTACATCAAACAAAAACAAAACATCAGAAAACAAGCAATAAACAAAACAAAAAAAAAACAAAATCGGTTACAGTTCGGAAATTGGTTGATTAAAGTATATGAAGTTTCGGATACTATAGAAAATTAAAGATTTAAGAATTAGGAACAAGCTGGTAATAAAACTTTACAAACAATTTTACAGATAGTCCAATTATACAACGTATATACAGAGTATATACAGTTTCTCTTTCAAGCAATGTGTGAAAAATTAAACTGAATTAAAAAATATAGAACTAGCAAAAACGGTAATCACGCCACGTATTTGTATTAGTACATATAGGATTGTTTCTCAATTCACTCACGTAAAATTCTTTCAATTTTTTCTTGAATTCTGTTTTCGATTTTTCTAAATTGCGCAAAATTATGGGCAGTGAATTCCATTTTTTAGAAGTCAAATGAAAAAATGATTTTTGTAGAGAAGCAGTCGAACAATGTTTGTCAAAAATAATTTGTTTCGTTCTTTCGTTGAGCCTATAATTGGCAGTCGGTAGTCTCAGTGTATTTTCAAAAGCCTTCTTTTTGTTTGTAAGATATTGGTATAAGTACGTTATACACTTTAACTCAATTCTTTTCTCGATTCCAATGAACGATTTGCTAATGCGAAGAAGGGAAGAAGATTTAAAATTCGATCTGAAATATGTTCTTTTTAGCGCCCAGTTCAACTGTTTCTCCAGAGATAGCATCAAAGTAGCATTAATTTGTTGTAAAAAAATTGCTGAATAATCTAAATGTGATAAAACAAGACAATGAAGCAAGGCAACTAATGATAATGTCGGCAGTTGTTGTCCAATTGTATCAATAGTTTTAATCCCTTGGGCCATTTTTTGGAGAATTGTTTTGATTTGAGCATGAAAAGATAAACTTGAATCAAGAATTATGCCTAAATATTTGCATTCTGATTTTTTGGCTACATAATGCCCACTAATTACTAGTTTATCAGTATCCACATTTTTGCTATCATTTTTTTGACAAAATGTTATAAATTCCGATTTAGATGCATTCAGATTCAATTGGTTCTCTGCAAAAAATTCCGTTAGATTATTGAGTGATTTTTGCAATCGATTCAAAGCATCCTCAGAAATTATAGAAGAGGAAAAAACCATACAGTCGTCAGCATATTGAACTAAAGTACAACCCTCATATAATCGCTCTTGTATGTCATTAACATAAATATTGAACAACAACGGACCAAGTACCGTTCCTTGTGGGACACCTCGTTTTATTTCAATCCAGTCTGAAAAAATTCCATTGACGTTTACTCTTTGAATACGTTTGTTTAGGAAGCTAGCAATTAAAGCATTTGCTCCATTTGAAAAACCGAGAGAAAGCATTTTTTCAATTAAAACTTCATGCGAAATAGAATCAAAAGCCTTGGACAGATCTAATAAAGCTGCATGTACGATTTTTTTTGAATCTATTTGATTTCGAATACTTTCTGTCACATAAACAAGAGCATCTTGTGTTGAAATGTTTTTGCGAAATCCGAATTGAAATGGTGTCATTATTTGAAATTTGTCAAGATGTTCTGTTATTTGGGCATGTAAAATTTTTTCAAAAATTTTAGAAAAAGCACAAGTTATTGATATTGGCCGATAATTTTTTGCATCCATTGGGTCATCTTTTTTGAACAAAGGGGTTACGTTTGCTTTTTTCAGTTCGATCGGGAAAATGTTCTCATCTAAGCAAGTATTTATGACAAAAGTTAAATGTGGAACTATAACTGATTGACCGTCAATGATTGCCCAAGCAGGTACGGTACAAGGTCCGAGAGGTTTTCCAACATTGATTTTTCGAACTATATCAAAGCATTGCTTCACTGTAATGTGTTGAAAATGAAAAGATGCAGATTCAGAGGCAGATTTGTTGTAATTCGGAGGCTTTTTAGCGCCGAAAAATTCGCCTAAGTTTGAAAAAATATAATTTAAATGATTGGCAATTTTTTTGTCTTGGGTTATCATTTCACTGAAGGAATTTCGTAGAACTGTAATTCGATGGTTGCCAGAACATGTACCTCTAACTTGGTTAATATATTTCCATTTTTGTTGGATAGTGCTGAGAAGTGAAAAACAAATTTTTGAATGATCGAATTGTTTACTTCTAATCAATTTGCTCATTTGATTACGTAAAAACTGGTACTTTGACCAATTATCGCTTGTGCTTTGACTGCGATATGATCTGAGTGAATTCTGTTTCTTAGTCAACAATTGCTGACATTCTGAATCGAACCATTCCGTTTTCAACACGTTTTTTGGTTTAAAATTACGAACAAACTTTTTTTCGATAGGAGCATGTTGCTGTAGAGCACAAGAAATTAAATAAATCATCGTCGAGAACATGTTTTGTGCGTCTGTACATTGATATAAGAGATACCAAGGAAGAGCGGAGAGTGAATTGCAAAATTCATTTTTCTGATAATTTTTCTTATTGAAAGTCGTAATTATCCTCGGTAAAATTTTGCCGCATTTTATATCCGTCAAAATAAATGAAGCAAAATGGTCGGTTTTATAAGGTGTATCAAAACAAAACTCAATGCCGTTTGTTTCATAGTCACTGATTATGTAGTCGATATGAGTTTTTGTTGAGGAACTAATTCTGGTCTCATCGTTTGGACAAAAAACCTTCAATCCATATGGAATAATTATAGAATCTAAATTTTCTTTTTCTTTGCTATCCAGATAATTTATGTTATAATCACCCAAACGATTTCACACAACCAAATTAAATTTCTAGCGATCAGTCGGTTCATTTTAATGTCTTATTTTTAATTTCGCTTTTAATCGCCAACATGTTTGACCTCGAAACTTTCCGAAATCTGAACAACGAATTGAAATACGAGCTGTATAAAGACTTAGTCGAAAATGTTACTTATTTTAAGCGAATTATCGAAAACTTAACTGTATCAACGAAAGAGGAAGAAAGAGGAAACAAATTTTTTGATCTAGAAAATTTTAAAAACACGGGCAATTCGAAAATTACAGAAAACAAATTTGAAAACGAATGGAGCAAGATTGGAACTCGGAGCAGAAATCAGAACAAACGAAGCGAAAATAACCAAGAAAGCAAGAATAACCAAGAAATCAAAATACAAGCAACCAATATTCAAGAAGAAAAATTCGACCAGCAACGAAAACATTTATTTTTACCACGAGAAGGAGAATATTCTGGCCTATTACTGGGAGACTCAATTGTTAACAGAATCAATGGGGAACAAATATCGGAAAATGTGTTGGCGAGAGGATTTGGTGGGCACAAAATTTCTGCATTGCTGGAACGCGTGAGAAACAGTAAATCGCGACATTTTAAACATGTAACTACGCTAATTGGAATAAATGACTGCCTCTCAAGTGAT